CTTGGAGGAGACAGAGGAGAGAAATGTCTCAGCACTGGCTTGGAGGACATAGAAGAGCCCGCTTGATGCATTTGCTGTTGGTGTAGGTTGGTATAGCTCCAGAAGAACCCATTGACCCTAAACAGTCAGGAGAAGTCTGCGGCCCCGCTCCCTGCTAACCTCCTCTCTCTTACCTGGGGCTAACGGGTTGGCAGAAGGGAGGTAGAGACTAGAATACCCCAAATAAAATGAGTTTAAAAAAAGAGTGCAACACACTCCCCTCAGCTCCAGGAAAAATGTTCCTTCTGCCTCTCTGTGCATCTCAGGGCTCCTCAGACCAGCTTGTGTGTCTAGAGGTTGGTTCTCCCCTTCAGCTCAGCCTAGTGGGCTATCCTTGCTGGCTTAGGAGCTGGAGCTACTGTTTGCCCTACTGCAGGCACTTGCCGAGGAGCTGCGCCTACCCACTCCAGCTCTGAGTTGGTGCTGGGCCTGTACTGTGGCTGGCCCACACTCCTGCTGGCCACAGTGCAAACACCAGAGCCTGGGAAGTTGCTCGCCTGTGGGGGTGGGGGGCGCTGGCAAGGGTACATTGAGGCTCCAGTTCCCCACTCACTACCTGCTGCTCACAGGCCTCTGCTCTCTCTCTCAAAGGGACCTAGCCTCCCACCCAGCTAACTCAGTCAGTAAAGCATGAGTCTTAATCCCAGGGTCATGGGTTCACGCTCCATATTGGGTGCCATTTATCAACAGACTTCTTTGGACCACCTGTGAATGAAATAAGACATGGAGACATATTATCTATGAAAGCTTAGGTCTTAGCTTAGGCTATTTCCCAACTAACTCATATAACTTAATTAACCCGTTTATACAATTCCACATTTGCCTCGTGGCCTGTTATCTCTCCTCAGTCCCAGTATGTCCAACTTCCTCCATGTCTGCCTGGCAAATCGATGCCTCTCAGTTCTTTCCACAGTTCCTATCTCTGCCCAGATTCCTGCATTTCCTCTCCTGCCGAGCTATAGAGAGTTCTTTATTAAACCAGTCAAAAGCTTAGGGAATTGCATTTACAAAATACCAGAGAGGCGATGTTTCATAAAAATAACAATACCAAAGTCCAGACAGTACTCAACTCTCTGCACAAAAATCAGCATTTGAACAACTTGAAGACAACCTTCACACAGTACACAGAAAGATTATCCCAACAAGACTGTCACCTTAGGCCACCACCACCACCACCTCAGCCTAGCCTTTCTAGTCTTTTCACCTGTTGCTACATCAAAATCATAATTCCAAGGCTAAAAATGATGCACAAGCCGCATGTAGTTGCTCATGCACATAATCCCACTCTAGAGGCTGAGACAGAAGGGTCACTTTGAGTTCAAGGTCAGGCTGGGTTACATGGTATGGCCCAGGCCAGAGTGAGCCCTGTCCCAAAAGCTGACACCCGTGCTAGTTACCTGAGATCTGCACATCCCTAAGCAGGGAGAAGGAAGGCCACTGGTGCTCTGCTCACTCTCCCTTAGGCCCCTCCACTGTGTTCATAATGGACGGCATCTGCCTTGGTGACACAGTGCCCCTATAAGGACTCTACCTCTGGGTAGAGACAGCATGGCTTTGCAGGGACCTCACTAGGGAACCACCCTTAGGGAGGCAAGTTCACCCTCAAATAACAAAATTTTTCCTCTCAAAATTCCCCATTCCTAGCGCAGTACCTAGGAGCCACCATGAGGTTGTGTTCTGCCCAGTTTACAAACCCCAAAAGACCAGAAATAAACAGACTCCACTGTAAATACATGAGGTTCTTTTTATTATAAATCATTACAAGCTGCAGCTTGGGCCCACACCCCCCCACCTCGGAAGCTGTGGGAGCCAAGCACCCCGTACTCAGGTTAGTAGGGTGATTTAAAGATTCTGGTCCCTCCCAGCATGCCCAAGGCAGGGGCGATTCCTGCCTGGCAAGTATCTATTGGTCAAAATGCTACATTTTGAATTGATTCGCTATAGGAAGGTCCCCAGACGATTAACGACCTGGTGTCCCTCCCTAGGGGGATGGGCCAGTTTCCTAGCAACTGTATCTCTAGTGAGTTGGGAAAGAATGCAGTAAGGTGGTTCTTCTCAGGGCATTCCTGGACTTCTCCACCCACCTAGTTCAGGCCTTAAATATTAATAACAGCTGCTAATTTTTAATCTTTTGGTCCCTCAGCTGGTCTGAATCTTCTGGGTGTTCTGAGGCCTGAGTCAGAAGGGACTACTGTAGGCTTAGATTTTTCACCAAACCTACTTTATTTAGGGTTCTTAAACATCTTTACCTCCTTCCAATCCCCTGACATTAGGTAGGAAATTAATATGGGAAAAGGGCTGTAGACCTCTTTCATCTACTTCCTGCTGATTAGGGTTGATGGGTCTTTAGGGGATTACCAAACTCAGTGGTCAGGATACCAGCAATCCAGCCCAAAGGCCAACACCAAGCAGCAACACAAAGTCAGCAAAAAAACAGCAAGACTCAGTTGCATTGCCCCAAGAAGTTCTCTGGAGCATTTCTCTCTTCGAAGTCAAGTGTTGAAGTGAAGATCAATGCAGCGACATCGATCCAAAAAGTCATGTCTCACTGTCCATGGGCCTCTGTATATCTCCTCTCCTCACAGTCCACCCACCGATGTTCTCAGCTGGCCAAAGTCATGCCCCTGGCACGTGAGAGCTCACAGCAAAACATCATGTGCCCTCTCACAAGCCAACCTCCAGCAAAACATCACCTGACAAAACTGAGTCTTCAAAGAAACTTCCACTTGAGACTATTTCTTTCTTCCTCTAATTTTTTCCAGATGCTGGCCCAGAGCCTCGGAAAGCTTTTAAATTCCCTATACTGTGAACTTCTTCCTCTCCGTGTAAGCTTCCGTGCCACCTGCAACTGCCTTCTGCCCGGTGGCCGACCCCCACTCATCTGAGCCTTATCTCCAGCGTGTGACCTCCGTCGGTCCTCTTCTCATCCTCCCCGATTCCACGACGTGCCCACTTGCCTGCCCTGGAGGTCTCCTTTGCAACACTAATCAGTCACCCTCCAACTCCCATCTGTAGCACTTTTAACTTCTTTTATTAATGGGACTGAGAACCCCAAAGTGGGGACCCCAATTTCCCAGTATATGATGGCTCTCCTGGGACTCCCTGAGTTTTCCTGAAACACTTCTTTCCTGCCTTTTAAGTTGTTTAACTGGCAGGAAAAAAATGAAGCTCTTCCGCACCCCTAGATAGGCATTGTTTCATCTGTCAGAGCTGCTCTGACTCCACCTGCCTCCTGTTGAACCCACCTGTGTGCAAGCCGATGTCACCCGCAGTTCAGGAGTCCCACAGCGTCTGTGAAGAGGGGCGGGACGCTTGGCTGCAGGCATCGCACTCTGTACAGGTACACACGTTGTGCCCCAAAGCGCACTTCCAAGCTTCCCTGCTACTGGCCGCCAGCACTATGAGGAAGGCCTCGCCTCCAAGAGTGTAGCTGTCACGAGGCTTCCCCATCTCATGTGGAACGTTGGCTTTTTGATTCCTGTGCTAGGTCTGGGTAGCAGGTGTTCATTCATATTCTCTAAATTACCAGACACGCTCATGTCCTTGGAGAACTCGCAACCAGGATTTCCAGGCCCAGCTCAGGATCTGACACCGTCAGCCCTGTGAAATAACACGGCAGTAACACACCCTGGTAAGCCTATCTCACTGTCCTGAACAACGCAGCTGGCTCATGGTGGCACAGACAACGCACAGGAGGCTCTGTGTGGGATTTCAGAGAGAGTCTTCCGAAGCTGAGTGGGAAACAGCTCCACACCCCTTGGATGTGGCATCTTACCCAGCATATTCTCCTTAAAATTAGGTGTAGGGGGACCACCATGGATCAAGTGGCACTACAGGATCTTCAGAGGAAAGGAGAGTTGGAGAGAGATGGACTCTGGGCTGCTGGCTCCAGAGAAGGGGCAAAAGACCTGAAGCTAACGTGGTCCCCTAAGATGCTGGGGCATCGGACCCTGTCTGCCCCCTGGAGATACCAGAAGGAAGCCTCTGTACTGCAGTGAGCTGTAACCCCAGGATCCCCGTCAGGGGCTCGGCACAGACCTGTGAGCTGATGGACCTGGTGCCGGCTTGTTAGGAAGCCAGGACCTGCTCAGTCCGTCTGTACTGCATAACCAGCGGCCCGTGTCTGAGGGACTGATGGACAGATGTCTGTTTCTCACAGCTCTGGAGGCCATGTGCTTCCTGACACAGTCCATTCTGCTGTGTGCTCCCAGCATATGCCCTTAAATGGCACAAGGGGGCCAAGAATGCCCCCTCTCAACCTCGCTGCCTCTTGGTCCTCCTTCCAAATGCCATGATCCTGTGACAATTTAAACAGTGTTTCAACGGTGATTGTGGCAGGAGCCTCCCCCGAGAGGCCACCCACCTCTCAGGCACTCTACGAGGACTGCCATGCCGTGGGGCCCAGCTTGAGGCCCTGTGGGCACATGGGAAGCAGATGGATAGGAGAGTCTGGGGAGATGGGGCACAGGGCTGAGGCCCAGCCTTAGGTTCCTTCAAGACGGGAAGAGAACCTTGGGAAATAAAAGGGCCGCACATCGCAGGTAGAATGCGAAAATAACATTATTATTGTTCTGTCCTGCCCTGCCCACCCTTGCCCAGGCCACGAAGCTCAGGGAATCATGCACACAGGCGAGGATGCACTTGGTGTTTACTGGGGAGAGCTGTAGACTAGGCCTGGCTATCACACTTTCTTGGTGATGTATTTTGGGATGGCAAGCTCGAAAATACGAGGAGATGGATTGGCTACCAGGGAGGCCGGGGAGATGTAGTACGGGTTGTAGCCCTCGTTGAGGTCCTTTCGAATTTTGGGCTGGGCCAGGGAGATGATCCGTGAACTGGCCACTGCTTTCTTGGTGGCCTCCTGGACCTCCCACTGAGGACTGCGGTCAGGAACACAATTTTCTGACAGAGCCTTGGGTGCTAGAGGGCAGAAGAGAGGAACAGCGCCAGGCTCAGACTTCTTGGGCAAAGCCCCAAGCTGGGTCTGTCCATCAGCAAATGAGTGACAGGTCTGTGTGACTCATGCCCACAGCATCCACATGCCGGAGTATTGCACAGCCATGAACAGGACCAAGGTTCTGAAACACAGCATTGAGGGTGGGAAGCTCAAGAACGGGGAGAGAGGCAGACAAAAGAGAACAGACAGCGTGAGGTTCCATGGCAGGAAACATCCAGTACAGCTGAATCCAGAGACGGAAGTGGAATTGGGGGTGCCAGGGACTGGGTGGGGACCCAGTGACTGCTCACGAGGACAAGGCTTTCTTAGAATGCTCTGGAACTGGATAGGTGATGGTAGGACAACTTTGTGAAGATACTGAAAACCACCTGGTAAGAGGGTAAACGGAAGAAAATCCTTCATTTGGTCACAGTGCTCAGAAAGGAAGCCGCAGGTATTGGAAGAACATGGGTCTTTCTCCACCTGGACCTGGTGGCCGCCATGGGAAAAAGAGCCTGCACTGTGCTCTATTCCTGGGGATAGGACAGGAATGAGGTGGCGGAGCTGCAGAGCCTCTCCCTGTCTGCTTGGGCCTTAGTGAAGATGGACGAGGCCGCCTGGACCAACAGCCTGACCGCACAGAGGCCCTGGGGAAAGTGGAGCCCAGGGACAGAGAATCCTCATGGACACATGCTTCTGGGCATGTCCACAGGAAACGTTCTAGAACGGCTTAACAGAGCAAGGAGCGTGCATCTGAACATGGCAGCACTGTCCCAGACTGAGGAAAAATGAGAAGGCAAGCAGCGCCAGCACAGTGAACATTTTGGAATGTTAGTTTCTTTTAAAAACACAGAAATACTATAAGAACATGTTTTTGTTTTAATCCCAGCTGTGGGATATGGGGCTGCTTTGGACTGTCTACAGCAGCTGATTATGGTTTGCCTCGTGCTTTGGCAGGGCCATGAATTTGTCAGCTGCAGAGAGTTCCTGTGATTATGTGATGTTTGGAATTCTGAGGACTTTTCAGAGGGTACATAAACGCTAGGGCCCCGAGAGATGGGTGAGTTGTTGGTTGTTTGTTGGTGGGTAAGTATTCATGGTTAAGTACTCATGCACAAAGACTAAATTAGATACCCTGACGGTGAAAATCAAACCACCTCCAAGGAGCTCAACGCCCCTAATCAGCAGGAAGTATTCTAGTGATAATGATGCCCCCTTCAGACCCCTGACTCTATTCAGAATCTCTCTACTCTCTATCCCTTTCTCTCTCTTATCTAGTACTAGGGGGTTTAAGGAGTGGGAGAAAAGAGGTGGAGAAGGGTGAATGAAAGAAGACCCCACAAAGTAGCAAAGACCAGCTACGCCAGCATCCACACCTCTGCTTCCTGACTGCGGATGCATCGTGACCTCACACTGCTGCCTCGTGCCTGCTCCCCACCCCCCCACCCCGGGACAAGCTGCCCCCTCAGACTGAGAGCCAAAAATCAACCCTTCAAGTACTTTCTTCAGGTCACAGAAAGGAAAAAGAAGTTAATACAAGCCCTTTCCCTGAGAACCCGAGTGCCCCTACGCCAGATCAGAGCTCTAATAGCAAAAGTCCTGAGGTAGAAATGAGCCTGTGTCTGGGACGTGGTGGCCCCAGGGCAGGGGGAGTCAACCTTCCGTGGACTCAGGGCACTGAAACTCTCATGCCTTTAAAAAAAGAAGATTTTATTGTTTAACATGTATGAGTGTCTTTGTATGCACATCTGTGCACCACGTGCATTACTGGTGCAGGCAGAGGCCAGAAGAGGGTGTCGGATCCCCTGGAGCTGGAGTTACTGGCGGTTGTGAGTTGCCGTGTGCGTGCTGGGAGGAATCGAACCCGGGTCCTCTGGAAGAGCAGCCAGTGCTCTTAACTGCTGAGCCGTCTCTCTAGCCTCAACATCTGGCTGTTTAAACTCTGTGAAGCACAGCATAACAGTGGAGAAGAGACCCTCTCCTGCCCCAACAGGACCTACAGAAGCAGAGCTGGGCACACGCTCCCACCCACAGCCAAGCACACCCCATTGGCCAGTGGCAGAGCAAGTGCCTGGCAAGCACAGGGCTCCAAGTACCCCAGCACCAAGAAGTGCTGGTCACAGTCCTTTGTGGCTGGACAGCTGTGTTGGACAGCAACATGCTAAAGCTGCCGTCACCTACAGTGTACCCAGTGAGGCCTGAGTGAGAGCGAGCACACACAAAGACATGTCACACTGCCCCAGACTCACCCTGCACTCACTAGTATTGAGAGAATGAACAACCGAACCTAACAGAAAATCCCACAGGCAAATTTTAAAAAGAAAAGGCAAGGCTGGGAGGAGCCAGCTTAGGGAATCTAGTTATCATCATCTATAGAGAACACCTCCAAACAGTAAAACAAAATCCGGGACAGAGCTAGCTGGGAAAGACTGAACCCAAACAGCCAGCTGCCTGCTCTGCAGGCATCAGCCAAGAGCAGCCCGGAGTCAGTGGCTCCCCAAGCTGATGGCCTCTGGGGTCTAGCAGCACACGGTGGACAGTATGCAGCAAAGACTCCCAGGCACCCATCACTCAGGCAGCAAGACATGTACAAAAGGCGTGTTGACTACTCCAGGGCCCTCTTCCCAGAGTCTGGGGTGAAGAACAGGGTGTGGGAATGACACAGGAGGGGGAGCCCTGAAGCCACCAATCTGCAAGCCCAAAGGTCACCAAACCCTGTTGGCTGCTGTGTGCTGTAGGTGGGGTCACAGGGTGGGGAGCAGCGGCTACAGGCACAGCCTCCTGGATTCTGGCCTAGTCAGTGTGGGGTGAGAGGTGGGGTAGCCTGGAATAGGCGTGTGAACGCACCCAGACAGGTCTGCACTGTGCGGACAGAGTGTGTGACCCTTAGGTTGTGACATTAGATGTTATCTTCACCTTCTTTCAGGCCCCTTTGTCTTTTCCATGACTAGCGCACATCCCTTTTGCCACTGGTGAATGACTCTTCGCCTTTCACACAGAAGGGAATCAAACAAACACTTCAAAGCAGCCCTCACTGCTCAGCCTGGCTGCCTAGTGCCTGCCCTCAGCTTCCTCTCCTGTCCCCATTTTCTCTGCCTAAGCCCTCCCCACTATAACCTCTGACAGTTTCCAGGATTAAGACAGCCAGTCTACAGTTGAGGGAGGTAAGACAGGAGGAAGATACACACCTGGCAAGTAGGGGCCTTAAACCCACCCCTCACCCATCCCCACATCCACAAGGGCATCCACTCACTTGCCAGCCGAAGGAGACGTTTATAGTTTGACACTTGAGCCTTGGGTTTTGGCATAGGGTCCCACTCTTCTGACAGCATGGCTGGGGGCCTGGGCTTTGACAGCTCAATTGTCCGTGGGCTGGGGACTGCCATCAGGGCTGCTCTGGACACCTGGTTAATCTGGACACAGAAATGGAGGGGAAAGAGTGAAGCCGTCATGATTCCTCCCCGCCTGTGGAGCAGGAATATCCAGGGAGAAAGTAGGAGCCTGAGTACATTAAGAGCCCCTCCAGGGACACCACAAAATGGCAATGATCTCAGCTGACTTGGGAAAGGTAAGCCATAAAACAAAACACCACCAGGTGTGGTGGTGCACGCCTTTAATCCCAGCACTTGGGAGGCAGGGGAAATCTCTGAGTTGGAGGCCAGCCTGGTCTACAAAGCCAGACAAGGATAGCAAAGGCTACACAGAGAAACCCTGTCTCGAAAAAACTAAAGTGTGTGTGTGTGTGTGTGTGTGTGTGTGTGTCAGAAATAACAATAGCCCAGCATGGTGGCACACACCTTTAATCTGATATTTGGGAGGCAGAGGCACACAGATAACCTGTGAATCTGAGGCCAACCTGGTCTACACAGTGAAACTGTCTCAAAAGGAATAAGATGAACAAATGAGAGAGAAGGTGCTGTCACTGGACAGTCACAGGCTTGAAACACCCTAGTGAAAATGTGGTGGCGGGATGCCGTGCACACAGCAGGAAAGCGCACAGCTCTGAGGGGTGGCGAGGCTGGCAGCAAGCCTCACAGCTCCGGCCTCGATGCTCACGCGCAAAGCCAGCAGGAAGTGTGTGGGATTCACTTGATCAAGGTGGGGCACAAGGTCAAATGCTTCCACGTAAGCCAGCGGTTTGCACTGAATGCTTAACATAGACTAAGGGGGACGCCAGTCACCAGTGAAGATGATGACAGAATGAGCTTCTGAGGTGCAAGGGGCAGGGACAAGAGCCTACTGTGGTGGGATTATGGAGACGCCATGCAGGGCTGCTGAGGTGGAAGGGGGCAAGCCAAGGGAGACATATACTTAAGGTATGTTCTTTAAAAAAAAAAAAAATTTAATAATTTTTTGTGTATGTAGGACATCACATGCATGCAGTACCTACAGAAGCCAAAAGAGGGCGCCAGCTCTTATCGGACTGGAGTTCCAGAAGGTTGTGCACCACCAGGCACCCAGGCACCTCTGTGAGTGGAGCCCAGGTCCTCTGTGAGAGCAGCCAGTGTTCCTAACAGCTGAGCCATCCCTCCAGCTCCGTTGCCCAACGCCTGAGAATAAGATCTGTGGCTGCTGCTCATCACCCACCTTTGAAAAGCCGCTGCATTCCCTAGCCTGAGTCTTCCCACTGACCCTCTCAACCTTGTTTCTTGGCATGCCCAGAGAGAAGCCTACATGCACCAGTAGGGCTTGCTGAGTTCTGTAAGCGCCAACGCACACAGAAAGACACAGTCCCAGCCCTACTGAATTGGTTTGGGGACTACATGATAGGAAGTGACAGGAGTCCCCAGAGAGACTGGGCCAGTACCAGGTGAGGAGAAGGTGGACCTTGTGTGTGTGGAGTAGTATGAATGGGAAGCTTTCTGGGCAAAGCCTGGGCCCATCCGAGGCTACACCTTCAGCACCTCGCAGACGGTGCCCAGCGGGCCCTCAACCCCAAGCCCAGGAACCTGGACTCTCTGGAGGGTCCTGGTGACCATGGAGGCCTTAGGGGTGTGCAGCCTTGAGACACAGGATCGGCCTAAATGCAGGCCCAGCAGGGAGGAGGTGGGCACATCTCAGAGTGGGAAGGCGGGGGCAAAAGGCCGTCAGTGGGAAGAGCCATGTTCTCACTGGCTCCACATGAAAGCCAAGTTCAAAAGTCATGCCTGAGACAAGCAGGGGATTCTACAGGGGCCACACTCTCGAATGTTAAGGAATGTTACTTGTTTAGTGTTTGTTCTGCTTTTAAATTCTCCTTGGTCTATTAGAAACGTGTATAGGAGTGTTAAGAGGGAGATCATATATTGCTGGGTGTAATGGAAGTTTTGGCTTCTTTGTAAACTAAGTTATATCATATAAATATGCTTTTGTTTCAGTTGGTCTTCAGTTTGTCCACTGCTGATAATTGTCATGTGTGGAACATGGCTTTTGACAGCTGGCAGTGGCCTGCCTTTGTGCTGCATGGAGAGGAGCACAGTCTAGGGCTCCGAGGATATGAATATGAGAGCCCGGAGAGAGGGGCGTGATGTGCAGTATTGGCACGTGGCAGGGAGCAGTTTGGAGAGGCCAGAGGCAGGCAGTGTGGCAGTTTGGAGCAGACAGACAGACGGAAAGACTTCGGAGCTCAGCAGCTTGGAGGAGCCTGCTGGCTGTGTTTGCTGTTGGCAGAGATTGGTAGAGCCCTAAAGAACCCATCGACCCTAAACAGCAGAGAGAGGTAAAGGGATCTGTTCCCCTGCTCACCCCACTAACCTTCTCTCTCTTAACTAGAGCTAAAGGGTTGGGGGAAGAGAGGTGAAGGATAAAACGCCCCAAATAAAATAATTTAAAAATGAGTGCTACAGCTGGGACCTTGCTTTGTGTTTTCAAAACAGGGTCTCACATAGCCCAGGCTGGCCTTGAACTTATTAAGTAGCTTGAAGGTGGCCTTCACCTCCTGACTCCTGATCCTCCTACATCCCTCCCATGAGTGCCATGGATGACAGATGCATGCTGCCATACCTGGTTGTTCTCTCTCTCTCTCTCTCTCTCCTCTCAGGATTTCTCTACAGAGACTTCACTGTCCTGAAACTCATTATACAGACCAAGCTAGCTGGACTCAAACTCATAGAGATTCCTCCCTCCCTGCCTCTGCAGTGCTGAGATGAAAGGCAAGTACCACCATGCTTGGCAGGTTTTTGGTTTGGGGATCAGGGTCTCTCTCTGAAGCCCTGGCTGGCCTGGAATTTGCTATGTAGACCAGGAGGCCTCCAACTCATGAAAACCTGTCTGCCTCTTGCCTGGATTCAAGGTGTGCACAATCACCTCAGCTCTCCAACTTGTTTTTGGAGACTGTGTCTCTCATGGAAGCTGGACTTCATTGATTCAGCTAGACTGTCTAGCTGAATGGTGGGGATAGGGGCAACTGGACTTTAAAACTGTTAAAAAGCAGATCCTGGTGAGCATACAGAGTGACTGTGGTGTCCGTCCACCAGGTGGTGTCACCCCACCATGGAGCTCCATCCCAGACAGAGACCAGATGCTGTGATGGCTAAGAGTGGTCAAGAAGCATTGGAATCCCAGGTGGCCTCAAGAGGCAGAAGAGGGTGACAAGCTCAAGGGCCAGAGGGGGGGGACAAAGTTTTCTAGATGAACCAGTGACGTGGCCCACCCATCCCATAGAGGCTGCAGCCCTGTCCCCTCAGCTACATCCAAAGGCAGCTGACTCCTTGCCCCAACCACCTGGACTACATGGCAAGCACTACCTACCTCCGACATGTTAATGCTCCAGATGTTATTGCGAACTTTTGGGGTGGACAGTTGCTTCAGCCGGCTAGAAGCTTGGTACTCCAATGTGGGCCGAGGGATGGGCCAGATGGGTGTGGTCCTAAAAGGCACTTGGAGTTCAGCCATCATCCCACCCACCCCTCCACAGAGCTGTGAGTGGCTAACTGTGTGCATGGTCCTTCTCAGAATGCTCCTGGGATGGTGAGCCTGGGGACACTGGGGTGGAAAATCCCTCCCAGAGGAGATGCAGTGAAGACCCAGACAGGCCTCGCCCAGGTATCCAGCTCAGAGCGTGGGGTACCCTCACATGCATTTTCTTCCTTTGCCTTCCTGTGTGGCAATCAGGAGCATGACAGGGATAGGGTATCCCGTGGCTGCTACAGAAGGCTCAGGAGGTGACTGCCTCTAGCTCAAAGGGTAAAACCGGGTCCCTTCTCAGCCCTGTCCAGAGGCAAGCGCTGCCACAAGAATGCTCCTGACGACCTAAGTTTCTGCAATTGCTAAAGCCACCCCTCTGGTTGGCTGCCAGAGGCTGGAATGCAGCTGCTCACCCTGAAATCCACCCCAGAGCAAGGGACATTGCCACCCACAGGTGAGGATAATAATATGGCACTAACATAGAACAGGGCTGCGTGTGAACAGCTGTGACAACCCGGGACCCCACAGTGGTGGTATGGGACCCCCTTCGGCCATCAGGAACAGTATACTTTCCCCTCTGCACAGAGACATCAAGGTTTGCCTGAGGGTCCCTGAGGACAGGCTTCAGAAAGCTTAAGTGTCCTCTAGGTCCCACCATCATGAGCACCAGAGACACATGAGGCCAAGCCCATCCATCCCCATGATCCCTGAGATCAGGCAGCCACTGGAGCTCTCGAGACTCAAGAGCAGGACATGCTAAGACCCTCTTGGAAAGAAGCAGGAGGAGGCTCATATCCACTGGTGACTCCTGCCTGCTCTTCTGCCTTCACCTGCTGTTGTTGTAGTATTCCAAGTAGAACCGCCTCGGCCTCGAAAGCTCCTCCACTCGGCGGGACACCACTGAATGGAAATGGCCCAGTCACCACAGCTACACTGGGCCCCAGCACGACCCATCCTCCACCCCAAGGTTCTACTCAGCCCTCCACAGGGCCAGGCAGGGGTCACAGGCTAGACACTTTGCCAAACATCCTCAGCAGCCCCATCATAGGGAAGACAGGCATAATACAATGGAAAACAGGTCAGCAAGGCTAGGACACCTTCCTCCCTAGGGTTGACCACAAGAGGCTCATAAACTGGGTTTTTGTCTGAAGTGGGTGCTGGCCTAGGATTTCTAGGATTATGTGGGGAGGGGCATGGATGAGCCTGGAGCCCCAAGAGAGACCCTGCTTGGCTATTCCCATCCACAGAGCAGCTCCTGTTGAGGGCCTCTATCTGAAGGAGTCCACACTCTAAAAGAAGATGGATCCCATGTGGGGAGGAAGGTCAAACAAATATTAGCCCTGCCCAGATTCGCCTCAGAGACTGCCCTGAATCCCTTGCAGTACTTCAGGGTTCCAGCCATTGGGGAGGAGGGGGAGAACTGGGGTCCTGGGAGATGGCCACATTCTGAGTGGAGCCAGCAGGTCCCAGGGCCAGGCAGAGGGCACTCAGGCTACCCCAGAGAGACGGAACCTACCAGGGACTGTGATGGCCAAGGTGGTGTCCTTGATAAACCGCTCTGTCCAGTATACAGAAGGCCTAGAATACAGCCGGGCATCTCAGGGTAGGATGCCCTGTGCCCTGTGCCCTGCTGGGGAAGGGAGTCCTAGGGCCCTGGAGGCTGGGGGACCAGGGAGGGCAGCTTGAGAAAACAGCAGGATACAGAGTGGGGCTGGTGAAAAGCCAAGTGCGGGCTGGAGAGCTGGGCCCCTCAGGTGTATGGACGCTGGCCGGCAGGCCTGGTGCGCAGCAGGAAGGTGGAGGCAGGACAGCAGGAGGGAACCCCCAAGCCAAGAGCCCTCTACCCCCCAGAACCTAGACCTGGAGAGAAGGAACCTCAGGTGTACCCCTGTAGTCTGACATGTCCCTGACATGGGCAGGTGGCACAAGGAGGGGACACCCCAACTCACCAATACAGGCAGAACTGGAAGTTGGTCTTGCGTGGGGAAGTCCACATATAGCCCTGACAACAGCACCTTATCCTGATCCTGCGATGAGACAGGGTCCCAGGCCCTGCCTTTGCCTCTGGGTCCCTACTGACTCCCAGACTCCTCACTCTACTCTGGGTACCACCCACAAGTCCCACACCTCTGGTGTCCTGCCTGACGCCTCCCCAACAGCCCACTTATTCTTTAGGTGTCCTGCCCAAGGCGACACAGTGAGGAGGTGATGAATCAGTGACGGGGTGAGGGGGTCAGAAGAGCACGGCAGGCCTGGAGCGCCCACTGCCTCGCCACCTCACAGGCCCGGCCCTCACCTGTCTCTCATGCTTTGCCAATTGATCTTGGGCTTTGCCAGCTCTGACAGCCTCCGGACCTTCTTCCTCCTGTGCTTGGCTGTGGAGATGCTGGGCGTCCTCTCACTGATGGACAGCTGACTGCAAGAGAGTTGGGTGTCGGGGTCTGCTTGTCCACCTCAGTGTGTCTGGGAACCTACGAGGCAGCTCCGCTCCCTCATCAGGAGCCTTTGGTCGGCTCTGGGGCCCCGAAGCCCCATCACTCTCTGTAAAAGAGTTTGGCATTATCCAGGCTCCACACTGTCCAGAAACTGAGCCCTGAGCCATGGAATGGAGAGAAGCCAGCTCCACCTCCCGCGGCTATTGGGAGAATGAACACGATGCTCACTTCTCAAACCAGTGTTTCCTGAGTAGCTGCTATGTGCCAGGGTCTAGAGCAGGACAAAACCACCAGCACCCCCTGCCTCCGGGAAGCCGGGAATCTCCCCAGGGAAGAACAACGAAGATGACCAGGATAGACTGGTGTGTCATCACCTGCCTCCTCCCAGCACCCAGCTGCCCATCAGGTCTCAATACCCACCTCATTTCAACCACTTCTACCTCCAGGTCTCGCCCGAGAGTGTCACTCAGGCCAGAGGTCTCGGGGAGCTCTTCCACAGTCACCTCCTCCAGGGGAAGCTCTTCCTCTGTGTCTTCCGAGATAAGCTGTGAGGTGGCCTGGGAGCTCTGGAGCCAGTGGCTCTCGAATGACCCGCTCTGAAGGGCCAAAGTGCCATTGCCCAGACTGTCATCATTCTGCCCATGCTCTGAGCCACTTGAAGTCTTAGCCTCCAGGGCAGAGGTGCTGAGTAAATCGGCCTGGTGTTCACCAACTTCCCCCATGTGCTTCCCCTTCCTAACTCCTTAGCCTCACTCCCTTAACACCTAAGTGGATCTGTTATCGCCACAGCAACAGAAGAATGCCTGCCCATGGGTTCCGAGGTCCCCATTCTAGCCCAGGGTGGGAGCTGGACCTGGGGTACACAGCTCAGGGCTCCTGTTTACATGGCTTTCCTTTGGGGTGGGGGACAAGAGGTGACAAGAGTCCCACTGTGTGGCCCAGGCTGGCCTCAAACCTGAGCTCCTCCTGCCTCAGCCTCCTGAATGCTGAGATGACTCATCTCTGCCGGGCTTCAGAGCCAAGCCTGGATTCAGAGCTCACCAAAGACTGTGTCCCCAACTGTGGGTGGGTGTGTGGAATCCTCAGGGATTTCTGGGCATGGATCTTTTTTCCTTAAAAGGGCCACAAGAGGCCACATCTCTCTTCCTGGTTATCACTGGGCCTGTCCTTAATGTCTGGTGCTCAAGCAGCCATTCTGTGATCACAGGGTTTGTTAATCTGATGGCAGGTGACCAGATAGATGAGTCTTTGGTATTTTGAGCTTCCAAACTTAACATTCTCGTAGATGGCTTTGGGTGTCTACTCCCTGCTCTGGAAGCTGACTCTTAGGTCCTTACAGCTCAGGGTACGAGGACACGCTTAGACTCTGTCCCCAGGTTATATAAAAGGGACCTTCCAAATATGCCGCCTTGCATCCTCATAGTAAGATCATGGCTGTTAGGGAGAATACTGCCAACACCCAGCCACCCCCATCTCCAGCCTGGGCATGTGGGGAACTGATGGCACAGAGGCCCTTGACCCCCATCCCATGGCTAGAAAGCCTTCATCTCCACCTTCACAGCCTCCACAGGGGTAGTATTGGCAGGAGGTCAAAGAGGGGTGTGGGAGGAGCTCAAGACCCCAGGGAGACTAGGAAGCAGTGCCTGTTCAATGCTCACAACCAAGCAGTCAGACCCAGGGGGTACCCCAGTCTCTGACAGGTGTGCTGGCTAACCCTGACAATTTGATTTGGACCTTGGGCCATGTAAGAGACCAGCCTGGCTGGTCTATGGGGGCGTCCCCAGAAAGGATGAAGGGGGGCCTCCCTCCAGAGTGGTAGGACTTTCCACTGTCTGCTCAGCTCCAAGTCTAAGGAGGAGGCCTTTGCTTCTTGCTGGCAGGTGTGTCTGCTGCCACCTCCCTTCAGTGACAGCGGAACCCAGCTTCTTTGGTTTTCCACTGGTTTCCCAGAACCCTCCAGGCCTTCAGTGCCAGGGTGGGACTGCTGAGGCACCTGGCTTTGTGACCTAGACGGGTGCCAAGTGCTCAGACACTGTTCAGTGCAGGCGGCCATCGCTGGGCCGTCCCGTCCTTATCCTGAAAGCCAGCCTAATAAATGCCCTTTGTAATGCATGCTCGTGCTTCCCCTCTGATGGCCTGGAGGGCCCTGGCAAGGTTGGGGGCTGGAGTCACGGCAGGCCTGGGGGACCATGGTGGTGAATGGAAATACATTCTCCTGCTTGGGGTTCCCAGGTATGCAAACCTTCTTGTCTGTTGCTGCCACCATGATAAGGTACCACAGGCTCAGCTAGAGAAAACAGGACTGGTTAAATGTTTCTACTCGAAATTCCTTTTCCTCTGAGAATTCTTTATATAGCCCCAGATATAGGTATGTATGTGTGTATATATATACACATATGTATGATTATATACATACAAATACATATATATACATTATATATAAATATTATATATATATATAATAGTGCTGATGGATGGAGACATGGCTCAGCAGTAGAGCATTTGCTGCTCTTGCAGAGGTCCTGAGTTCGGTTCACAGAACCCATGTGGTTGCTCACAGGCGCCTGTAATTCCAGCACCTGGGGCCCCAGCACCATGTTGTGTCCTTGGCGGGTGTCTTAGCTACTGTTCTATTGCTGTGGAGAGACACCATGACCAGGGAAACTTGCACAACAAAGCATTTAGTTGGGCGCTTGCTTACATTGTCAGCCCATGACCACCATGGTGGAAAGCCAGGCAGCAGAGAGGCAGGCAAGGCACTGGAGCAGTAGCTGAGAGCTTCCATCCTATTACAAGTGGGATACACAGAAGGAGAGAGACGGCCAGGCATGGGCTTTGGAAATATCACATCCCACTGCCGGTGGCAACTCCTCCAACAAGGCCGTATCTCCTAACCACTCCAAGACATTTCCACCAGCTAGGAACAAAGCGTTTCAACAGGGGAGCCTATGAGAGCTAGTCTCATTCAAACCACCATATTCCACTTTCTGGCCTCCGTAGGCCTGTAACCACATCATAATGCAAATGCATTCAGTTCAACTTCAAAAATCACCCTAGTTTTTCACAGCATCAGTACTTTAAAAGTCCAAAGTCTCTTCTGAGACTCATGGCACTCTCTTTAACTGACACCTGATAAAAACCAAAAGGCAAATTACATATTTCCAGTGTACAATGGCACAAAATATACATTACCATTCCAAAGGGAAGAAAGGAGACACAGGAAATACTGGACCAAACCTCAACAGGGCAAACTCCGAATCCATAGGTAACTCTCTGTCTGATGTCAAAGGACTTAGATAGCTGCACTTCCGGCTTTGTTGACTGAAACATGTGTCTCAGCTTGGGCTGCTTCCACTCCCTGTCTGCAGCTGTCCTTGGCAGGTGCCCCATGGCTCTGGCATCTCCATCTTTTTGAGAGCTCCACGGTAATCCAGGCTTCACCTTCACACCTTCACTCTATGGCCTGTCCGAACCTCTATGCAGCGACTCTGCTGCCACACCCCTGGCCCCAGCAGCATTCCTTACCCTCAGAGGAAGATCCCACAGTCCCTTTACTCCTGTATCCTTCTTGACAAAGCCCAGAACCCCACAGCTGAGGGTTCTCCTGTGTACTTTTTAAAAACTCTTTTATTTACATTTCTTTTTATCTTTTTCTCCTTACTCTACCCCAATCCCTTCCAACCCCCGACCCCTACCCCGAACACCAGTTAGGAGAGAGAAAGGGTTAGTGGGGAATCCTTCTCTTAGCTGCTTTCTGCTGGTCAGGGTCGTTGGGTTTTGGGGAACCAGTCCAATCCTCATTTCAGAAGATCTCCAACTTCTTGTCTCACAACAGCAACCAGGAGCAGCAGGGGGAAGCAGGAGCAGCATTGTTCTTTCTTGGGGATCACACTCTGAGCTCTGGCATTTATTTTCTCTCCAGAGTCCTCAGATTTAAACTATCTACAGCTGGCAAAGAGCTCCTCTCAGAGTCTACAGGAGGCAAATGGTCTGCTGCTGTGGACCATCTGAACCAGTCCCACATCCCACACGTGGGACCAAAACAAAAAACATGTTTCTATCCACAACATCCCTCCTTGCATGACAGCATAACCTTTTCCTTTCACAAGTTGCAGGATTCATTAGATGAGGTCTTACACTGAGGGCACCGCCCCCTTTATTCCAGGCTTTTCCTTAAATCTCATCTCTTTGAGCGCAAGGCTTGGCCTCAGCATTACATTCCCTGGTGCTCTTTTTCTCCTCAAACTGTACACTTTGCATTTATTTTTGTCTTGCTTGCTCTTTTTCTGTGTAGTCTGCATAAGAGTGAGTATGTGTATTACAGTCAGTACTAGGCTGTCTTGAAACCTTCTCTGCCATCTGTAGGCTTAGCTTTCTCACCAAACCTACTTCATTTAGGGTTCTTAAGCACCTTTTCCTCCTTCCAACCACTCCCCACAACCTTAGGTAGATGAGTAAAGAAAAGGAGCTGGAGTCCTCTTTTATCTACTTCCTGCTGACTAGGGTCAATGGGTCATTAGGGGATTACCAGACTCAGTAGTCAGGATACCAGCAGTCCAGTCCAAAGGCCAACACGAAGCAACGAAAGCTGAAAGCCTCAGTTGGATTGCCCGGAGAAGCTCTCTGGAGCGTTTCTCTCTGCAAAGCCAAGTGTCGAAGCAGAAAGATCAGCGCAGTGGTGTCGATCCAAAAAGAGATGTCTCCTGTGTGTGGGCCTCTATATATGTCCTCTCCTCAAAGTCTACCCATGGATGTGCTCAGCTGGCCAAAGTCACACCCCTCACACGTGAGAAATCACAGCAAAACATGACACACTCTCTCACAATCCAACCTGGGCAAAACATTACATACCCAGCTTGCAGCAAGACATCACATGACAAAATTCAGTCTTCAAAGAAACCAGAAATTTCCATTTTAGCCATCAACATTGATCCAAAACTCAATTTAGCCTGAGGCAGATTTTTAGAACAATGGCAGAAAGCAGCAATGTTCTTTGCTAAAATATCACAAGAATAGTCTCTTGTGAGTCCAGTTTCTAATATTGTTCCCCTCTGAAACCTCTGGAGGGGTTTCAGAGTTCATATTGCTTTCAGCATTACCTATCAGGATGCTCCATTACATCCTGCTCACAGTGTTCAACTGGTTTCCTAAGCCACAGTCCCAGAGCCTACATTCCTCCAGCAAACAGCGTGGCCAGTCATGTCACAGCAGCGTGCCACACCCCAATTCCAGCTTCTCTCTTAGTTACTTTTCTATTGCTGAGAAGGGACACTATGACCAAGGCAACGTACAAAAGAAAACATTTAGTTGGGGGGTTACTTACAATGTCAGAGGTGAGTCCATGACCATCATGGCAGGGAGCTTAGCAGCAGGCAGACATGGTGCGGGAGCAATAGCTCAGAGCCTACATTTGATCCACAAGTTGGACACAGAGAATGAGAGAGACTTAGCCTGTGGTGGGCTTTCAAAATCTCAAAGCCCAACCCTTAGTGAGATATCTCCTCCAGCAAGGCCACACCCCCTAATCCTTCCTAAACAGTTCCGCCAACTAGGGATCAAGCATTTAAATATATGGGCTTAGAGGGACCATTCTCATTCGAACCACCACAGCACCACAGCGGGTACCTGCCCACCTGTGGCATACACTCAGACATACACATAAAAACAAAAAGAAGGGGCTGGAGAGATGGTTCAGTGGCTAAAAGAACTCACTGCTCTTCCA